GTATTTTTTAATTCTTCTGTATTTGTGTACACATAAAAATAAGAAGATGAAAATAATTGACTGAGTAATGTACTATTGTTGTACCATAGCTTCGAGTAATGGATAGGAATAAATATTTTCTTTTAGAAAATTATTATATCCTAATAAATGTCAATGATCTTTCTTTTCCTCAAAAAACATGAGACAAATTACGTGAAAAAAATAATATCATTTTAAAAGAAAAGAGGATGAATGAAATAATATTCTTATATAATTAATATATTTTTAACTTCTAAGGTCCTCGAGTTCAATATGTCACAATTATAGAAATTGTCGAGAAATTTAAATGCGAAAAAAACACATTAAAATATTTTATATGATTAAAGCATTCATCTGCTTTTTTCTATTTGAATACACAAATATAAAGAAAAATATTTATTTATATCAGCGTTTGTCAAAAAAAAAAACGCATAATTTATTTTTAAATTCTTTTCTTATTAAACAAATAACTAGTTCGTCAACCATTACATGAACTACATCCTTCTAATCGTCTAAACATACGACATTTACCAGCGATACCTATTTCTAAACTTGGTACTACTAGTAATTCACCTACAAATTCAAACGTTGCATCAACAGCAAATCGTTTTCATACAAATAATCTTTTCCTACAATCAATTAGTCCTACAACAAATAATGCACCTCAACAACAGAAAAAAATACCTTCAAAACAAAATAAATATATTTATGATGCTACACAAAACAAATCTCGTACAATAACAATTATTAAACAAGGACAGGAAAAACCACATAAATCTATAACAATATTTCTTAATCGACGTACAATTCAAACATATGAACAACTTTTATCCGATATATCTGAATCATTTGGTTATCATAAAAATCGAACAGATAAAGTAAGAGAAAATAAAAAACAAAAAGAAATACTTCTTATTTTATAGAAGATCAAGGGTAGAGAAAATCTCATTTTTTTTTTTTCTATATAAAAATTTCTTCCGCACTTTCTTTTTAATGTCAAAAGTATATTATTAGGAAGTAAAACGTAGGCTACAACAAACAGGATGAAAAATTTCCCGTTTCATTTCTCTCATGCGTAGTTAATTCTCCGACGGCATTGTCATGTCTTTCGATTGCATCGTCTTATAAAAGATATTTTTGCTCTTTAAGATCAGACGTCTATTCACTCTCAAAGGAAAACAAGTGAATGGTATTAATGATTTCTTTCGTGAAGGTAAATTCATTTTCTTGATTTATTTATCAATAAGAATAATAATTATATAGATGATGTATTTGTTGCATCAACAAACGTAGCAGATCTTTCTTTAACTGATTTACGAGAAATTAGTATAGAAATGCTTAATGATCCACAACGTTCAACATCACGCAATACAGGTGTGAATAAATATCAATTTAAACAAAATATTCAACCAGTACCTGATCGTGATACACCAAATGTGCCAACAGTAGCAATTACAAATGATCCAAAAAAAGTGGTCAATGTACGTGATAGTGGTTTCTTAGATGATGAAGATGGTTTATCCGGTAGAGATAGTGAATTGACAACATCACGTAAAACTCCACGGCCTGTAAATAATAATAATAAACAGAATGAAACAATATCTCAAGATCCACCAACTCCTAGTGATCTCCTCGGACGAAGACAAAAAAGTAAGATTATTTATTTAGAAGAAGTAGTTCAAAAGCTTTTATAAATAATGATTCCCTGTTTTTTCTCTATTAAAACTGAACACCTGCTGTATCAGTTTCAAAACAATATGAAAGAAAAAATGTCTTACTTTTTGTTTTTTACTTTAAGAAACACAAGCTAAAACAACAAATATTCTTTCTATTGAACAACAACGAGAACGTGAACGACAACGTTTACGAGAAGAAGAAGAACGTCGAAAAAAATTATTAATTCGAAAAGATCAACAGCAAACACCACAAATTCCAGTCGTAGCAAAATTTGAACCATTAGCAGTTGATATTAATAATGATGAATCTCGCACTAATAAATTGAAGACTCCTATAACAAATACGGGCACATTTTCTCCACATTTTCCTTCAATTAGTGGTGCTACAGCAAAAGTATCAAATAAACCAACATCCGTTACACCATCATCTCGCACACATAATCGCGATGAAAATGATCCAAATAATAATGAAACAATAATTGCTACAGCTGCAGCATTAACAATACCACAAGTACCTAAAAAGCCCCTAAAAAAACGCTCGTCAGCTTTAGTATGTTTTAAATCTTGATTTGTATTATTTAGTATTTTATTTCTTTACTTTAGCATACTTCTTCATCTATTGTTACTGATAGATATGAACTTGGTAAGAAAATGGGTGATGGAAATTTTGCTGTTGTACATCGTTCAAAACTACGTGGTAGTGATCGTGAATATGCAATTAAAATTGTTGATAAATCAAAGATGAAAGTAATAGATTTCTTTTTTTCAAATAAACAAAATTTCGACTATTTTTTCTTTTAAAAATAGGGAAAAGAATATATGCTTGATCATGAAATAAATATTATGTATATGTGTAATCATCCAAATGTAATTCGTTTATTTGAAGATTATGAAACTCCTGATGAAATTTATCTTGTTATGGAATTGATTAAAGGAGGTGATTTATTTGATTATATAACAAAACACCGTCGTTTCGATGAACCAACATCTTCATTAATGATTAAGGATGTTGCTGAAGCATTATTATATTTACATGCAAAAAAAATTGTACATCGAGATTTAAAACCAGAAAATTTATTAGTTATGCAAAGAAGAGATGCACGTATTACAATTAAACTGACAGATTTTGGTTTAGCAATGCAAGTATCTGGACCAATAAAAACAGTTTGTGGTACGCCAACGTAAGCTTTTATTTCTTTTTGAAAAAATAAATAATAACCAAGGAAATATTTTGTAGCTATGTCGCACCGGAAATACTTGCCGAAACTGGTAGAAATCGATTTTATAGAAACCAAATATATATATAATTTTTTTCGTTTAATATAGGTTATGGTATGGAAGTAGATTGTTGGGCTACTGGAATTATATTATATATACTTCTCTGTGGTTATCCACCATTTAAAAGTGCGGATCGTAATCAAGAAGTATTATTTCAATTGATTCAACGTGGAAAATTTGTTTATGATACAGAATATTGGAGTTCAATCTCAGCTAGTAAGATGATCATTGGTAAAAAATATTTAACTAAATTTTAATTATTTTCATATGTAGATGCAAAAAATTTAATTGATAATTTATTAGTTGTTGATCGTCATAAACGAATGCATGCTGATGAAATTCTACTACATCCATGGATAATGAGTATCGGCCAATCAAAACCAATACGTAACACGGAAGAATTAAAAACTGCTTTACGTTTAAAATATGATGCTAAAGTCAAAGAATATACTGAAAATCAAGGAGCGTAACTTGAAAATATAAACAGTATTAAAAGTGACGTTAAATGTCAGATTTTTATTTCTTCCGTCTACCTTATATAATCTTTAAAACAAATTTTTTAATCTCTTGTTTTTGATTTTCTATTTTTCGAATCCACATTTTATTCATTTGATTGCTATATTTGATAGACAAAAAAATAACCAAATATGCGTAATTATTTTTTCTATACAACAAAAAAAAACAAAGTTTTATTTTAAAAAAATATCGTTTGGTAATTCTATAAACTGTTCGAACGATAACAATGTGATATAATGAAATGAAATAAAATTATAGTGAACTTCAAAATATATATATTTTTCATATAAATTGCTTATTTATTAAGATTATATTTCAGAAAACGGAAGATACTCAACAAAAAGAAGTATATGAAGCGTATATATTCGACCGAAAACAAGTGATTTGATACGATCCATTAACATTTCATTTGTTTGAAGGATCTTATTAAGGACAAATATACAAAAAAATTAGACTAATTAAATATATTTCAATGAATATTTCCTCCGGAAAGTATTACGCTGATTTAGTTCATTCAAATATTTTCTTTGAAATCAGTATGACGGAATAACCTTTCATATTACCATCTACTTGAGAAATAACATATGCAAAAAAAAAAACAAATGCCGTTGCGTAGTAACGTAGATATCATATTAAAAAAAATATCTAATTGAACTGAGTACAAAATATAATTATGAAAAGTAGATATTATTTAGTATACTGGTGATAGGGATGAGATGAATAGAAGCAGAAAATAATTTTATATAGTTCAATAAACAAATTATTGATTGATAAAATCTTTTGAAAATACATTACTTGAGAAAATCATAAAAAAAATATTGTATGACGTACTTTTATTAATAACGGTCGCATGTACCTACCACGGCAGTTAATCCTATTTTAAGTCATTCTATATCCGATAGGAAATATGAACCATCCGTCAAAATAAATGGTCCAACAGTACTTCTACATACTACGTTCTATCAATAAGAAAAGGCAATTAAACAAAAAATGCACCTAGTTAATAATCAGACAGTGTTTTGCTTGAAAAAGGGCACAATGTTCCTCTCAGTTTATATATATATATATACGTTCTTTTATTAATTCATTAACATTCTTTTGCTTCACAAATGATTATGAATTCAATTTGAATATAAACAATTAATTAGCACGAATGAATACCATCTGTTAGAATAGAAAAAATGCTTTTTTTTTTACTAACGACGAAATACAACACTTTGAAATTGGTCGTGTAGGATAATTTATCTGTCTGACATACTTCAATTTATTTATAACACAATCTACATATATATATTGTCCATTGATGTATGTTTAATTGTTGCTAAGAATTATATTTTTATACAAATATTGTTTATTTTGACGGTAGAAAGAAGAAAAAGAAGGAAAAAAATGTAGGTTTATAGATTGTCATATGATGTCTTATTTTTATCCTTTCTTTATTTAAGAGTTAAATCGTGTCAAGAAAATCTGTCTCTATAAATAAATTTTTTTAATCAACTAGATTTAAATTTAATCATAAATATGGTAAAATACTATTAATCCATGGAAGATAAAAACCAACACGTGTATAAACTCCCGGAGATATTGATGTATCACATTGACTATTTCCATAACTAACAATTCCTGTTGCTACAAAATGTCCTTGTTTTTGATTATTATATTCAACAACTAGTAATGGACTACCACTATCACCTGAACATGTATCAATTCGAAGTTTATTATAACCAGCACATAGTTGTCGATTGATATCAACAATAGATTGATAACATTTGATACTTTTTTCATCAACAATAGGCATAACAACATCTTGAAGAATAGGAGAATGTCGACTATTTGGTGTTGGTATAAGTTTTCCCCAACCACTTACAACAGCGGTTGTTTGTGCTCGAGGATACATTGATGATTGTAATGTTGGTAAACAACAAGGTTGAAGATCAGAAGCAAATAGATTTTTGATTTTAACAAGAGCTATATCATTTATATGCATACTAGTATTATGTTGATATTCAGGATGAGTAAACCATCTATCAATATCATATCGTTCGCCATTGAATTGACGAAGATCATGAGCTTTTGCAAGTATTTGTATTTGATTGGGATTACGTCCATTAAGACAATGAGCAGCTGTAAGAATTGCATTAGATGAAATAATAAATCCTGTACAGAATGGATCTGTTGTATATCTATCAACTAATGCAATAAGCCATGGATATGTATATGGTAAAGCTTCTTTGCCACCAACAATTTTAGTTATAAAAGTTTTTTTATTATAATTTGGACAACCACATGGACGTTGACTGCAAGCAAAATCTGGATAGGATAAAAGAGATGAGTCTGTATATCGGTAACGAGCAAAATAAACGATAAATAGTGTAATTAAAGTAGCAATTATAATTAAACCACAAAGACCACCAGCACAAAATAGAAGATAACGAAGTGGAGATCTTGATCTTAAATTAGTTGGATTTGTTGGTCTAAATGATAGTGGTGATGATTGAGGGGGAGGTTGTGATGCGGTATACGGTTGTTCGTAATACATTTTGGTTTTTATATTATTGTTGATCTAAACTGTCTCCTATATATATATATTTTACAGATACATTTATAATAGATCATATACTAATCGTGACCTTATGAAAGATTAACAATAAATGACTAATTGTTTTTGTTGTTTTCAACATGATCTCTTTCGATAAGCAAATATTTTTTATTATTAACATAGAATTCGAATTTTTCCTTTTGTAAGGTAATGAAAATATTTAAATAGGAATTAGACATTTTTGTAAAATTGTATATCTAATAATATATTCTTTCGTTTTCCCATGAATTTTAATATCAAGATAATTGTTTTCTTCAATTCAAGATTGAAATTTAATCGAAAATATTTTGTCTACAATGATTACTCTAAACACAATATTAGCCTTTCTAGAGATCAATCTTATTTAAATAAATATATGCAGAGTACGACCAATTTTAGAGGATTAACATTATATTATAATCCTCATTGTCATATCGATAAAATCATGATATATTCCTTTTTTTGATTGAAATTAAAATGAGTAACAGCAAGATTCGAATAAGAACGATTATATTTATTTCCAGTAGAATATCTTACAGCAACAATATAGATTTATTCATTTGTATTAATATCAGACATGACAATATTCATATTTCTTTTTATTGCGTATATCTTTTTATCGGAATTTATATTTTATATCAACCATTTTGATTATTTATAGATGTTAATGAATAATTAATCATATCAATATTCTTCGTAAAATAATGTGCTATCTTATGAAAAGTTTCGTGTAGCGAACACAGTTAGTAACTTACTTGATTATGATTATTTCAACTTTTTATGTGAAGTGTGAATAAATTAAGAAGATATTGTATTTGTGAATGAAATTGATTAGCATTATTATCTGATGAAAATTGTTTTTCTATTGCTACGTCTTCATTCTTTTCTTTAAAACTTGTAATTGTTATTATCAGAGTTTTCTATCAACGCCATCTATTTTTAGTAAAACATAGAATTGTTGATTTATTAATTGATGAAATAAAAATTTATTTGTTGTTTTTGAAACTGATTAATTGAAATATCAGTCATTGTTTGTGATATGAATTTTAGTTTTATTCATTTTATAATTATAATTTTTTAAAGAATCGAGATGAAAATTAAGAAAGAATTTTTTTTATTTACGCATTAATTGATGACCAGTTGGTCCTTACAGTACACAAGATAATAGAGAAAAAAAAATAAATAAAAAACTAACAAGAAACAACGAGAGAAGCAACATAGACAGGAGAGAACAAAAGAAAAACAACAGAGATATCAACTAACTAATATAAAGAAAAGAAAGAAAAGATTCAGGATAAATACGAAGGAGTTGAACATCCTCCATATCATATAAAGGAACAGAAGAATTAGAAGAAATCCAATCCATACATCTCTCAGAAAACTGATATGTTACTAACAAATCTTTTAAAAAGATGTAAGCATTTAATAGAATACTCTCTCTCCACTCGAGACTGTCAAAACCTATTCAATAAAGCATTTCACCATCAATAGAATCAGCTAGAGCACATAAATATTTATCCTGATAACGATAACATCTATCCTCAAGCGATAACTCATCAAATAAATACGCAAAAAATCAAAAAAGAATTCTCATACAAATATATAATTTATTGATTTTATTATTAGTATTATTTTAATGACTGTAACATTGATATGATATGCAAATATAAATAACGTCATTTAAGGATCTGAGTCATGTTAACCAATATAGAATTAATCACATGTATTGCTTCAACAATATTTTCAAGGTTTTTACTTGTTCTTGCGAAATTACTCTTTCAATGTAATTTCGAAATTTCTTATGCACAGTAAAACAATGTTATTTCGAAATTACATATGCGCAGCAAAAGAATATTATTTCGTAATTACATATGCAGAGTACATTCAGGTATAAAAGGCGTCTTGTACTCCGTTAAATCTCTATTCTTTCACATTCTATGTTAATAAGAAGGTAGTATTTACTTCAATTTATCAAGCAAATTTTTTGATTTGTATATCAAATATTACAATTATTCATTATGGCAAGACAACGTTCCGAAGCTGTAGCAGAGACAATGTCTAAGACACATAATATTCGTAATATGTGTGTCATTGCACATGTTGATCATGGTAAATCAACATTGACTGATGCTTTAGTGTATAAAGCTGGTATTATTACCGAACAACAAGCTGGTCAACGTCGATTTACTGATTCATTGGAAACTGAACAAGAAAAAGGTATTACAATCAAATCCTCTTCTGTTAGTATGTTCTATGAATTGGATGATCAAGTTCTTGGTTAGTGCATTTAAAAAAAGAATCTAGATTTCATATATATAAAATAAATTTTAATATTTAATAGGTGATCTCAAACGAGATGGTAATGGTTTTCTAGTCAATTTAATTGATTCTCCTGGTCATGTTGATTTTTCATCTGAAGTTACTGCTGCATTACGTGTAACTGATGGTGCATTACTTGTAGTTGATGCTGTTTCAGGTGTGTCTGTACAAACTGAAACTGTTCTTCGACAAGCTCTTTCTGAACGTGTACAATTAACATTAATTATAAATAAAGTAGATCGTTGTATATTAGAACAAAAATTAGAACCGGAAGAACTTTATAAAAAATTATCCGGTATTATTGCTCGATGTAATGCATTAATTGCAACATATCGAAGTACTGATGATACAATTTATTCGGATGAACATTTTAATCCAAAATCAGGTAATGTTTCATTTGCTTCTGGCAAACAAGGTTGGGCATTTACATTATCTCAATTTGCAACATTTTACGCTGAAAAAACTAAAGTATCCAAAGAAAAATATATGGATCGTTTATGGGGTGAATCATTTTATTCGGCATCAAATAAAAAATGGCTTTCATATGAACAATCAAGAACAAGTGATGATGCTAAACGTGGTTTTAATCAATTTATTCTTCAACCATTATATCAAATGCTTACTGCATGTGCTGATTTAAATATGGATGAAGTTCGAACATTATTAACAAAAATCGATATTAAATTACCTGCTGAAAAACTTGATGCTACTGTTCTTGATAGTAAAACAATAATGTCAAATGTAATGAAACGTTGGTTACCAGCTGGTGAAGCAATGTTACATTTAATTGTTCTTCATCTTCCATCACCTGCACAAGCACAAACCTATCGTATTCAACATTTATATGAAGGTCCACAAGATGATCAAGTTGCATGTTCCATGAAAGCTTGTGATCCTAAAGGCGATGTTATGATTTATATTAGTAAGAAAATTCCTGCACAAGATGGATCACGTTTTCTTTGTTTTGGTCGTATATTTTCCGGTACAATCGTATCAGGAACAAATGTACGTATACTTGGTCCTGATTTTCATCCAGGTTCAACAAGTGATTTACAAATAAAAAATGTAACAAGTGTAGGTGTTATGATTGGTGATCGTTGTATACAAATGCATAGTGTACCTGCTGGTAATGTCGTCGCATTAACTGGTATTGATAAATGTTTATTAAAAACTGCAACTATAACAACAAATCCAGATGCACATAATTTTCGTGTAATGAAATTTTCTGTAAGTCCAGTTGTACGTGTAGCTGTTGATGTAAAAAATCCAACAGATCATGCTAAACTTATAGATGGTCTTAAAAAATTAGTACAAGCTGATTCACTTGTACAAGTATTGAATGAAAACGGACAACAAGTTATTGCTTGCGCTGGTGAATTACATTTAGAAATATGTTTAGCTGATTTAGAGAAACTACATGCACGTTGTGAATTAAAAGTAGCAACACCAATTGTAACTTATCGTGAAACAATTACAGCTGAATCACGTCAAATAGCATTTACAAAAACAACAAATAAACACAATAAATTTTTCATGCGTGCTTCACCGTTAGAAGAAGGTTTAGCTGATGCTATTGAATCAGGTCGTATATCATCGAAACAAGATCCAAAAGAACGATCAAAAATATTAGTCGAAGAATTTGGTTGGGATTTAGCTACAACAAAGAAAATTTGGGCATTTGGTCCATATGATAATGGACCAAATATACTTGTTGATTCAACAAGAAGTGTTGATGGATTAGGAAATATTCAAGATGCAGTTGTAGCTGCTTTTCAATGGACTACTCAAGAAGGTGTTCTTGCTTCAGAAAATCTTCGTGGTGCACGAATTGAATTACTTGATGCTGAAATTCATCGTGATTCAGGTAAGAGAATAAAATTTTATTTCTTATTTTAAAAAATAAAATCAATTTCTTTTTCTTACAGCACATCGTCGACCTGATCAACTTATTCCAGCTATTCGTCGATGTCTTCTAGCTAGTTTACATATGGCTGAACCACGTTTACTTGAACCAATATTTTTAGTTGATGTCGAATGTCCAACACATATGATCGGCAAAGTCTATTCAACATTAAATAAACGACGTGGTCAAATCGGTGAAGAAAGTGAATTAAGTGGTACAACATTATCTCGCATAAAAGCTTATCTACCTGTCAATGAATCTTTTGGCTTTACAGAGGAACTACGGCGAGTGACAAGCGGTACAGCATTTCCTCAATGTCAATTTGATCATTGGTCATTATTACCTGGTGAACCATTTGAAATGAATACAAAATGTGGTCAAATTGTAAGCGAAACACGTCAACGTAAATCTTTATCCGAACAAGTACCAGCATTGGAATCACTTATCGACAGACAATAAACTACCTTTTTCTTTTTCTTGTCAAAATTTTAATCTTTCTCTCTCTCTCTCTTTTTTTATAAATTCCAATAAGAAAAAAATTTAAACAATAAAACTCAAACATCAGTACCAAAATCCGATTCAGTTACATGAAAATGTGATAAAAGTGTTACTTTCGTTGTTAAATCAGGTGCATGAAATTTTTCGACAACAGATAATGATGATGTTGGTCGTTTTAAACTATTTGTACTATTTGTTGGTTCAAGAATTTTTTGTTTTTGTCGATAACATAGGAAAATAA